AGTGTAAGATGGACAGAAGCTTTTAAATCCAACTTTTAGCTAATACTGCATGTAGAGAAAGAAATCTGCTCCTGGATTAATTAAAATGCTGAGCTGAACCTACTGCATCCTCAGTGCTGAGAACCACTGGAAATACACCTCTGTCCTAAACTGAGCTCCATCTGTGTGTTATTTCACATCAAAGTCAGGTTAAAAGACTCTCTCACCCCTCAACAGCTCCTCAGCTTAACCACAGGCTTAACTTAGCCTGTTAGGAAGATGCCCAATGCCCCACTGAGATATTTCCTCACCCATTATTATTAATGATGTTATTATTTACTGGAAGTTTTCATACCTTTTAACTACCAATTTTTATTTGCTCTAGGAAGAATGCTTAAGCCTTACCTTAAGGGGAAGGTTTGAAAGGAATCCAGAGCTTGTCCTTCACTGTGCCTGTGGAAGAGAAGATGCTGAGCCTCCCTGGGCTGGACTGACCAGCTGTCCCAGCAGCTCTCACTGCTCCTTTGTCCACGCACTCATTTTTTTTTTTCACTCAGGCGCTTCTGCCAAAGCCCATCACTTCTCTTTTCCCCTGGCTTCTTTCTTCTTGGCAGAGTTTCAGATTTATTTGTGTTATATAAAGCAAAGAGAGCACATTGCTGTTGAGTTGCTGGAGCAGATTCTCTGGAAAGTTACTCAGGAAATTCTTGAGTCTTGGCCAAGAGAAGAAAAACAAGCCCAACAACAAACCACAGAAAAATCCTTTCTCTGGCAAATTCTGTTGTGTTTCTCAGTGCAGCAAGAGAGGCTGAAGTCAACAGCGACATCACAGCACAGTGTGGGGGGCAAGAGGTGACTTGAGAGTCTCATGGAATGGCAAAGGTTGTGTTGGAAAACTCTTCCAGTGGCACTAGCCCTGGTGCAGGAGGAGCAGTGAAGTGCTGCCTTCTGGATAACAACAGCTTCTCCAGCTAAAAAAACCATCTTGCAATTATTATCTTGACTAACTCTGTGCTTCTAAAGAGGATGGGTTTGATTTCATCCCCAGGCTGTGGAGCACAGCTGCTCCTGGTTGCTCACTGCAGCATCCCCAGCACAGCACAGCTGAGGGACCTGTGGTGGGAGGGAACATGACTAGCTGGGACAGAGGCTGGGCTTGGAAGTGTGGAGGAGTTGGGTTTGCTTCTCTCTGCTCTGCCTAGTGGGAAAAACCACCCCTAAGATTTAAATAACATTCAGCTGTTTTGGAGCGAGGCAAACTGCAGTAGTAGTAGTCAGGGGTAGTAAGTCAGGACACAGAATGGAGCTAAGATTTGACCCACACACATCTCCTGGGTGTCCAAACCTTCTCCATCCCTTTCAGCCCTTCCTTGCAAAGGGAAAAAACCCCAACCCTTAGGTGGGAGGACTGGATATGCCAAGTCCCAGCCAGTGAATGTCAAGCAAAGACACCTCCCTGTCCTCCTCCTTGTCAGGGCATTGATGTTTGGAGATCCACATGGAAAGCAGCTCTCTGGGGATGTGTGTGCCTGCTCTGGGGGGTTTTCCTGGCAGGATTAGCCCATGTCTGAGCCACAGCAGCCACCTGCTGGTACCTGTTTGCCCACATCCCTCCCTGCATTGCCAAGACACACATCTCTACCTGCTAAACCACCTGCACTGCATCCCATACCTGCAGCATCTATACCTGTATCACCAGCATGATCCATGTGGACCAGGAGAGCTCATGGCATGGGTGAGGGTCTTGTTGCTGTGTCCATCCCATGGGACAACACTGCCCCTCTTCTCCCATGGGTTCCCAGCTCAGCTTTCCCAGAGCTGGGAGTGCTGGTGCTCACCCCCATCTCCCCATCAGAGTTCTCCATCCCTTCCAGATACCCAGTGTGGGTGCTAACAAGGAGTCTACCCTGTCTTTCCAACCACCAAAGCAAGTTTCATCCTGCAGTTCTGTGTCAGCATCACTTTGGGTCAAAGCACATCTTATTTTGACTCTAGATAATAACTGGGCATTTCCAGCTGGTGAACTAAGAGCTGCCAATTTTCCTTACACTTTTCCAGGCACTACTGAGTTGTTTCCCCTCTCCATGGCCCCAATAGTGGGACCAGAGATGGGCCAAGGTGTCCTGAGCTGGAATACACAGCAATAGCAGCTTTTGGGGTCCAAATACAGCCCTAAGCCCCTCCACCAGAAATCACCACCCCCATGGCCACGTTACCCCTGCCACAAGATGCTCCTCAGGACTGAGCAAGGCAAAGCACTGGTGTCCTCCTGCCATGGATGAGTGAGATATCAGAGCCTTCTCTGAGTTTGCATATGATTCTCTCCTGCAACCAAACCCCACCACAGCTGCAGTGCCCCTCACTGCTGGGGCCCAGCAATTCATCCCAGCAGGGTTACTCCTCAGCACAGATAATCTCCATGAGTTAAGCCTGAGCAAGGGGTGCAGACAAATGTCAGGCATCAGTTTGTCAAAGGATATTCATATTTCATATTTATTCACATTTCATATTTATGAAAATAATAATCCCTTTCTTCTTTGTGAGGCAGAACACCTGCAGAGGATGTGTTGTGACATGGGTAACCAAGCTCTAGGGCTGCAGCTGATCACAGGTATCAGTAACACTGATGAAATAAGATGAGTATTTCCACTGAGGCTCCAAAAGTCAGGGGTGAAGTGACCTCTGCTCTAAGGCTCCTTTGGGTGCCACATCCAGGCCAAGCTCCTCTGTGTCCCTGGTGAGGTCTATAAACACCTGAAACGTGATGCAGCAGAAACAACCCCATTAGTGGCAAGGACTGACAGTATTTGCACTGATCCAGAGGTTAGTTCTTCCTTTTATACAGGCACTTTCTGCCCTGGAACTCCTACACCAACATACCTGCTGCAAAGTGCTCAGTGACAAGCTATACTCCTCAAGCCTGAAATTCTGTTTAGCTGTGGAAGGATAGAGAAGGAATCCTTAAAAACTTAATCCATATAAAGAATCTGAAATCAATCTCCTTAATAAATTGTTTCCTTTTTTACCTGCTTCTAGCTTGGAGAAAGAGCAGGACAGAGGTAGAGCATCTGCCATGGGTATCTTATAGATGAGCAAAGAAGAAGTCCTGAAAAGGTAATAAAGAAAGGAATTCAGCATTTTGTGACTCAGCACAGAGGTTTGGGGTGCTGGCAGGGTTACTGTGCTCCCAGGGAACTCAGTAAGGTCAGAAGGAGCAGAGGGCCAGGCTGGAGTGCAGTCACCTTTGTTGACAAGCTGCATGGGGGAACAGCTTCAGCATTTCAGCATGGACAGCATCACTCTGCCCCACGTCGGCCACTTTGACTTCTAGGTTGTAACTTGTGCCAAACTTACTTTTCAGATCCTCAAGAGAGCCTATGTACCTGCAGAGGAGGGAAAACATTGCTCAGACCATCCTAAGAAGCAAGAAAAGCAGTGGCTGGGGATGAGCAGCAGATGTACATCCTCAGCTGTTTGTACTGTGCTGCTGAAACAAGGGACATCCTCACAAAACTGGTTGGTACACACTTGGGAAAATCCAAAACAGTGTTTTCTATTAGATTAGGGAAAAAAAACCCAAACCAAAGCCAGCAAATCCCCAGACTAAACACCAAGTGTCACCCTGGTGAGAGCTGTGCTCACCGTAGCCTCCCCGAGACCAGGATGGCCACACGGTCACACATTGTCACCATCTCCTCCAGGCAGTGGCTGCTGAGGATGGCTGATCTCTCCTGGCTTTTCATGATGTTCTGAATCACTTTCCTGAGAAGAGAAAGATCACAGTTACTTCCTAGGAATAACCAAGGAAAACCTCCTGGTTTATGTCCCCCCGCAAAAAGCAACTGAAATGATAAAATTATTCAAAAGAGGATGACTGTTTAAAAGCCTTTGGTTTTCTTGCTTAAAGATGATGTGGGTGCCAATGTTATGTTGCAATTTGTCATGTCAGAATCCCTCCAAATTTTACACTTGTGGTGTAAACTGTTGATGAGAAGCTAAAGCAAACGCTAGGGATGAACGACTAAAGGAAGAACTACCTATAATTTTTTCTCTTGCTCTGAAGACAACAGGAATTTGTGTCTTTTATACCAAATTACTGGGTTCAGCTGGTGTCTACTGAGATTTTTTTGGGAGTGTATTGCCATTAATGTTCCACCTGATGGTAAGAAAGGTCTTACTGCCAGTTGAGTGTTTACCATGCAGTGCCCCATTCCTTGGGCATGAGGAAAAAGGGAAAATACAGATGTACTCTGCCCCCAAGCAGAACCTTTTTGGCTGCCCAAGGGTTATTACAACAGGGAGGGTAAGACTTAACCTATTAAATCTGTTACAGACCTCTCAGCTGTGCTACAACAGGGCTGTGCTCACCACATGCAGCGCTGCCCTCTCGGGTCCATCCCCACCGACAGCTCATCCCAGAGCATCACTGTTGGGTCTCCCAGGATGCTCAGAGCAAAACATAGCTGAAATGGGAATGACACGAGGCCAGATCAGGTCAGGTCTGCTTTACTTTACCTGCAAATCTGCTGAGTTGTCCTCCTACATCTTAATCCCTGTGGATCTTTCCAAAGCTGAAGCTCTGGATTCCAAAATGCAGGAGGAACAGGGACTCATAAAACCTATTTCAGATGTTCTCAGTAAACATTTTAATCTCTCCAAATCAGCTCTCCCCCAGCCCCCCAAGCCTGCCAAAGATGTGAAGGTGGTTTTCCATCCCTTTTACTGGAGATGCACACAGTGGGACATGAAGAGGTGATTACCTTGTAAATCCAATGTGTGGTTAGCATTTTTTAACCACACAGTGTGGGACAGTGGGGAGAAAGGGAAGGGGATTAGCCAGGCTGGATCCAAAAGCATGATGAAATAAATGTCAGGAACCCACCCTGCTGAAGGTTTTCTGTGCACCATGTCCCAGCAAGAGTGAGCAAGGTTTGCTCAAGTAGCAAAGGCAAATCTAAAACATACCTTTCTGGCTTCTCCAGCTGCTAATCTCCTAGCTGGGGTTTTGAAATGTTTCAGGAGATCCAAGGCCTTTGCCATGCTGTGGAGAAGGGAAAATACTGAAATGACCATCTCAGTGTGCAAACACTGTGCTCAGGGGTACTGAGGAACCAGACACTAACACACTGGTTTTGGCTGATACACATCACCTTGGGTTACTTGGTGGTTTTATTCTTAACTTGGAGGGTAAAGTAAGGAATTTTTGCAGAAATTCAGGATGAATTTCACACAGCTAATGAGGGGAGTTACTCATGTAACTGGCCATGAACTGGAGCAAGTTTAATTTTCTTGGTTTACTTGGTGGTTTTACTCCTCACTTGGAGGGTAAAGTAAGGAATTTTTGCAGAAATTCGGGATGAATTTCACACAGTTAATGAGAGGAGTTACTAGCCATGAACTGGAGCAGGTTGAATTTCCTTTCTGAACTTGCCCAGATAAACTTGGGCTAAAATCTTCATTGATAAGGGACTGAGAAGTATAAAGTAGCAGATCTCATCAGGACATCCCATTTCCCCAAGGTAAAGAGGCACTGAAGGTGCTGTCTCTTAATCACACTAGACAGGTTTGTAAGGAAAACCTTTCCTGGCTCTATAGAATCCTGGAAGGCTGAAAGGGATCTGAAGGGGGAGAAGAACCAAAAGCTGAGATCATTTGGCTTCTTACCAGCTGATGGTGAGAGCTGCATCTTCTTTCTTCATCCCTCTCACAGCAGCATATGTCTCCAGATGCTGCAGCACTGTCAGGTCTGGCCAGAGCAGCTTCTGCTGGGGACAACAACCCAGGCAGCCTGGGCTGCCCTGCCCTGGGGACAGAGTGACTGCATCGTGGCCTCTGAGCAGCACCTGCACAAACACACACACCTCTGTAGCTCTGGGGTGTTAGAGCCACAGAATGGGTTGGGTTGGAAGGGACCTTAAAGCTCTTCTCATTCCACCCAACAGCAGGGACACCTTCCACCAGACCAGGTTGCTCCAAGCCCTGTCCAACCTGGCCAAGGCAAGCAGTAGACACTCTGAGTGGTCCCTGTGTGGCTGCTCAGAAAGCTTCATGAACAGGTTAATCCTTCTCCATCTACCTTTTCACTAGCATAAAACTTTGGGTAATAGTACCAACATTTCCCCTCTTTCCTAGTCATACTTTTCTATTTCCAACCTTCAGTCCCAAATCTGTAACAGCAATGGCATTTGGCCTCCTCCAGCACATGTCATTAATCATCCTGCACATAATTTGCTGATGGATTGTTACTGGCCCAACCCTGTCCACATTCATTTTTAACTTCCTGGTTTTGCAAGGCTGTTTATGGAGAGTGTTAGTTTGGGTTGATTTAGACGCCAACATTTCTTCCAGGGCTTGTGAAATTTCCCCAGGGGTGTTCAATGCCCACCAAAGATTTCCTGTAGCTCAAACCCTTAAATCTGTAACATCAGCTTGGATGAAAACTAGAATGTGCTTGGAGGAAACCAACACTTTGCTCTCACCTCCTGAAAATATCCAGGGAAGATAAATTGTACATACATGTCCACAAATTCCCTGAGTGAAGGGCTGGGTTTGCCTTATCACATCCTTAATTTATAAAGGCATCAAGGTCATCTCTCCAGCTGCTCCAAAGGAACCACCTACCTCCCCAGCAGTCAGGGTTAAGTGTCCAGAGATCATGTTTAGGGTTGTGGTTTTTCCAGCTCCGTTGGGTCCTAAGAGACCTAATATTTCTCCTGGAACAAATATGCAAGAACTGTTAGTAATAATTGTTGTTAAGTAAGACCTTCTTCCCTGTTTGCTTGGCAATATCTAAAGGAACAGGAAGAGAAAGGATTGTTCATTAAGTGATCCCCATAAATTAAAACAGGAGGAGTTCAGGGTGTTGGGGCTGGTTACCCACAGGAAAATTCTAACAGAAATATTGTCTCCAAATGTGACTTTCACTTTAGGTTTTAGTCATTTGTAGGGAGTGTAGCAAAATCCTTGAACCTTTTTTAACACTGAAAGAGAGATTTTGGACAGCGAGTTTCTTCTTTTTCTTGCAGATGGAAGTGACTTTCTTGACTTCATATTCCTTGCGCAAACTGTTGACGACGACAACCAACTCCTGGGGAAAAGATGAAGAGGAAAATAAATCCTCTCCTCCTATCCCATGAGACAACTGATCTGTTCTTACCGTTAAGTATGACTCTTTGAAGAGGAAATTTCTTAATCAAAAATCCAGGAAACAGAATAACAGAAAAAAAAAAAAAACAAAACAAAGAAGAAGCAGAACGAGAATAAAAATATAGTGTCAGCAAAACTCCTTCTGGTGCCAGGGGAGATCAAATCATAAGTGCATGAGCTAAGAAAATAGAGACAGATTGAAGATGGAGAAACAAAAAGGAAAACGTGGAAGACTTGGATTCACCTCATCCTGCTGCATAGAGGCCATGGCACTCCTCACCCTCTCTCTCTCTGCATGGACTTCTGGGGGCTCCTCTCCAGGGTAGTCCTTGTTCTGGCAGGTGACCACTCTCCTCTGCTGGATCCTATGAGTGGAGGAGCAGAGCTGGTGTCACTGAGAGTCACTTCCAAAAAGGCATTGGTTTCCAAGTTTGTTTCCAGGGCAGTGCCAACACAGCACTCTGCAAAATCTGCGTCCACTCAAGGACCTCATAGAATATCCTGAGTTAGAAGAGACTCACAAGGATTGCTGAGCTGTTCCCCAGGCAGTGTTTGCTGAAATATTTATGCATGGGGGACAAACTAAACCCCACTGGCATCCATAAGGAAATAAAGGCCAAGTTTTCCTTCTCCTCCATCTGCTTCCCTGCTCCACACATGCCAATGATCTGCTCAAGGAGAATTAAAATACACCCAAGTAGGTTCCCAAAGCTGTTTGGGCACCTAAGTCCCAGCTGAGTCACAGCTGTTAATGGTTGATAATTCAATACTTTTTACAAATCTCCCACATGGCTTAGGTTCTCAGTCACTTGCTGTTGGTGACAGGCAAGGAGAGAAGGTAGCAGATGACTCCAACCTGATGACACTTGAGGGGAAGTTCTCCATCCTACCAGGAGCAATATTGACCCATTTGAAAAGGAGCTAAAATGTTGGGGTTTGATTTGTAACTGCAATTTAGTCATCTGCAGTGAGATGCCCTGAAGCCTCAGCTAGGAAGTTTAATAGAAAAAAAAAATCTTAAATCACCATTTCAATTCTCTCAAGGACATTTTAGTCCTATTGACCTTCGATTGCAACACACTGGGTGGGAATTTGCTTCCAGACACACTCAGGGAAACTCCAGTAAGTCTGAAACTGTAATGACCCAAAGGAATAACAAATCTCTCCCCTTGTTCTTAGTTTCTTCCCCTCCAGATAACCTGGTTAAAAGTAAAAATAGGAGCTTTATCCACACTTTGCAACATGTTTTGAAGTTCACTCCTCCTTCCTCCTGCTGTCAGGGGTGGGCCAGGAGGGTCCTGCCTGGCTGTGCAGCTCACCCTGGGATAACTGTGGCTCACAAGGAGCCCCTGGGACACACCTGAAGATAGGATCAAGTCTTGCAACTGGTTCTCCATATCTCATCTCCAAACAGCGCAGGAGGAAAGCAAAAATCACACAGTGGACGTAGGGCTGAAAGGCACAAGTTAATGAGGTTTGCATGGAGACAAGGTAACCATGCACTGAATTAATTTTAATTAGAAGAAGATGCAGGAACCTATCGAATTCATTTCAGCTATGGGAAAGGTCTAACAGGGGAAGAAGTTAAACTGATGCTTTGCATACATTTCCATCTGATATGCAGATCTTCTGCCAAAGCCTTGACTTCCTACTGCAGCTTTAGCCCAGATAATCTGCATCCCAACACATCCTACAGGATCAGAGGTCACACCATTCTTTTGTAGAAGCAGCATTAGACTGATTGATTGATTACTAATATCTCTGCCTTATACATGAGCTCCACTTCATCTCCCCCACCCCTGTCCCATCTTTCCACATATGCTACAGCATCCAGGGGCCACAGGAGGCACAAGCCCATGACCACTTGGATGTACCTCCCCTGCCAACACTGAATGTGGAACTCTGACCACCTAACCCATGCTTTATTCATGGGGAGAGTTATACAAGCCCAGTGCAAATGCATTGAAGCAGAACAGTCATCCTTTCCAAAGCAACCATCTTCCAACTGCTCCTTACTGCAAACACAGACATGTAGATGTGTTCCCACGTATGAAAATAATGTCCATTGTAAAAAAAGAAGAAATCCTACAAGAAAAGAACATCAGTGAATGAAGGAAATTCCTTAGCACTGTCTCTCTCAGTGCAGGGTCACAGCAAGTGTGGGAGGCAGGGATGCTTAGCTTTTCTTAAGGATGGGATAGAGGAGCTTTGATCTGCACTTTTTGGGGGGTTCATAATAGCTTCCTTGGCTACAATTCAGTCAGTTTAGATCAACCTTTTCTGTCACCTCTTCTCCCCAGTTCTTTTACCTTCTGCCAGCTCTTTTCCCTCCTGGTCTTCCCACTCCACCACATTCCCCTGACATGCTATCCTGGCTGCCAAAATACAGCCACTGTAACAGCTCTTCATAACTAAACCCAAAAATATCCCTATCAAACAAAGGATTAACAAGTCAAATCTTGGCCCCTTCTCTCACTCCCCAGCCTGGACCTTTTCTTCTCCTGCTGTCTTTTCTCACTCTCTCTTTTGGACATTTGGCACTTTGGGATAGGGAATTTGGAAAGTGCCTCTTGCTTTGCCAGTTTGCACCATTGGGACCATGACTGAATTTAGTAGGATGTGTTTTGCTTACTGCTCCAGAGCTCATCAGCCAGGCCAGCAGTGGAAACATGGGAAACAAAATACAGGAGGTGTAGTAAAATGCCACATGATAGTCACTGAAATTATAGACAATGTAATCCATCTGGAATAAAGCAGAAAATGTGTTTCCAGTATCAGTGTATTGCTGTTAAAACCAGGCTATTTGTCACTGATCTATGTTATTCTGCTGAATATCTGGAAATTTGAAATGAAGCCTCCAGTGGCAAGATGCAAAAGTGAAATATTTCAGAGTGGAGATGATCTTCACTTACCAGAATGAACATTAAAGACCAAATGTAGCGATTGCTTCGTCCCGTGCGGAATTTGAAGGCAATTAAATAGACAAGGAGGACAAGAGATGCTCCATAACCAATGACGCAAATGATCTAGAGAGAGAGAGAGAGAGTCTGAGGTCAGTGTCAAGGAGGTGCACGTGGATGTATGAAAACCTGCCCAGTCCATTTTGACTAAAACATTTAAAACAAGAATCTCCCTGCGAAACGAGGAGATTTGTCTCTGTTCGTTTCCCCCCACGCAAAGGGCTCACCATGAGCAGAATGGTGCTGGCTGTCAAGGGCCAGGTGAATCTGAAGAGCACCAAGATCCCAAACATGAGGCTTATCAGGGTCCAGAAGAAAGGGATGTCCACCAGTGCCTGCCCACACCAGTATGCCGAGGGGAAGAGCCCCGCGAGCCGCAGCTGAGTGCGAGCCTGGAGCTGCCAAAGCAAGTGGGCAAAGAATCCAAACCATCATTCATGCTCCTCCTCCTCCCTCTTTCTTACCCTCCCTCCTCTCTTCCCTGACTGAGCCTTCCTCTCCTTTCCAAGTACTTGCAATTCTTAATTCTACTAATGTGTAAAACCACATCATTCCTGAAAGCAAAAAGAAATCATTCTGATCTCCATTATCAACACCCAAATTGTTCCGAGCCTTTGATCAGTCCTTGAGGTACAGAAAAATGCACTTTGGCACAACATTGTGCTTGTGTGACTGGATTTCTTCTAACATCCTGCCTAGAAATCAGAGACAGAGAATGATTTGGGTTGGAAAGGACCTTAAAGCTCATCACATTCCACTCCCTGTCATGGGCAGGGACACCTCCCACCAGCCCAGGTTGCTCCAAGCTCCATCCAACCTGGCCTGGAACACTCCCAGGGATGGAGCAGCCACAGCTTCTCTGGGCAACCTGTGCCAGTGCCTCAGCACCAGTACATAACTAGTCTCCAGAGACAATACTTTTGCATTCACTTCTTATCTAAAACCACCCACAGTGTGTGACCTTTACCTTGTAATCCTCCATGCTGCTCGCTGCAAAGAGAGGAGGCAAACCAGCAGCCAAAATCAGCAGGTAGCTGAGACAGTTGAAAAAAATATAGCTCTTTATAGAGATGCTTTGTGTCTGTGGAGAGAAATTCAGAGTCATCCAGAATGGGAATATCTGGTCAGCTCAATGCTTGTAGGATGGTTGAACATGTAAGGGAGCAAGAACACTAGTGGTAAGTCATTTGTGTTTAAGAACAGAAAACAAGGCCATAAAAAAAAGGCATTTTAGAATTTGCAGCAACTATTTGGATTGCTGTAAATGGTTGAGGACAGAGACCAAGTGTTTGATGGTGATTCTTGCAAAATGGATGCTGGAAGAAGGTGAGGTTTGCAAGTATCATTTGTAATACAACCATAGTTATCATGATAAAGTGGTCTGGGTTGGAAAGGACCTTAAAGATCATCTTGGTCCAACACCCTGCCATGGGCAGGGACACCACCTTCCACTGGATCAGGTTGCTCCAAGATCTATCCAACCTGGGGTTGAACAGGGACTAGCCATCCACAACTTCTCGGGGCAAGCTGTGCCAGTGCCTCACCACCCTCACAGGGAGGAATTTCTTCCTGATATCTGATCCAAACCTACTCTCTGTCAGTGTGAAGCCATTGCCCCTTGTCCTGTCACTTCAGACTCTTGTAAACAGCCTCTCTTCATCTTTCTGTTAGGCTCCCCTTAAGAGTCTGGAAGGGCACAATTAGGTCACCCTGACCCCTTCTCTTTTCCAGGCTGAACCATCCCAATTCTCCATACATGACACAAATTTAAAAAAAATCTTACAGAATTGAAACCTTCCAGAGCTCTCAAACACAAGAAAAGAAATGGCCACTAAATAGGACCAGTACTGACTGCTAAGAGATGCTCCAGAAACCAACCAGTCAGACCACTGACCCCAACCCTTGGAACTTGCTCACCCAACCAGGTTTCCAACCCATCCAATCCTTCTTGCCTCAAGGTGGCTATTTCAATTCCTTTCCCCCAAGAAAGGCAGGACACTCACTCTGTGGAAGAGTTCACTCCAGACACGGATGCGCTTGGTGGAGTTGAAGAGCCTTAGGAAGGTGTTGCTGAGGATGTTCATGAGCACAGGGAAACAGCTGATAGGTTCTGGGCTACACATGACCGTGAACTGGTAGCTCTGAAGACATAAGATCAAAAGTTGTTACGTTCATGCCCATGAGAGGTGTGAGCAGCACTCCCAGTATCATTGAATGTCTCAGAAATAGTGTGTGGATTTCTCTTTTCCCCATTTCAATACATTTCAGAAAATCCTGTTGATGTACAGGATGAAAGAAGGGGAAAATCTCCCTCACCTTGCCTTCCAGGGAGACTTTTATAGCTCCATTATGATGTAGAAGGCTTGTGATGTTTTTCTCAAGGCTTATCTCTGGGGTTATGCCTTGAATCTTCAAAGCAGCAATGAAATCCTCAATTTCTGCTCCTGAAATCAAGAGAAGAATCAGAGTAATTATAGGGGTTTTTTTTTTGCTTTCAATATAAACAGTTTCAATATAAACAAGTTCCTACTTGCAAAGAAGAGTTGTACTAAAAAAACCTAAACATTGAGATCCTAAGCATATTTCCTATATTCCTTAGACATCTCCTATATTTTTTCTATTTTAATTCAATTGGTCAAACACGATATTTCCATACTTAGTCTTTTAATGGCTTTTTTCCTTAGCTTTTTTTATTGCTTTTTTACAAAACAGTTGCCTGGTTCATTACTCTTTCACATATCATCTACTCAGTTCTCATCACTAAAACTGGATTTGTTTTTGCTCAAAAGAAAACACTTCCCAAAGCCACAAAGATATAAAGAAATGTACAGACAGAGTGAGGTAATATTGTTCTGGCAACTTAATAAGGTCCAGATTGGTGCAGAAATTGTCTTTCTTCACCTGTGTCGTTGAGGATGAGGAGGTTTGTTGACCTATTTGTCCTTTTCCTGTTAGTGGGAAGAAAATAAGGACTGGCCGAAAATTCCCAGCTGATGGAGCTGTGCCACAGTTGAAGCATAATGAACATCATCAGCACGAGAATGACAAAGGCTCCAAGTAACAGCAATCTAGATGGAAAAACAAACCCTGAATGAATCCAGGGGAACTCCACCTTTAACTAATTGTGTGATTTTTTTTGGGGAAATTTAAAACTTTAGCAATTCCGAGCTTTACCAGTAAGTTCACAGTTCCCTTATTACTGCACTTTTAAACCATTTCCACCTAATTCTCTGCTTCCAAACATCTCCACCAATATTTAAGCCTTCTCAGTCAATCAAGGGAAGGATCAGATCCTTTGGACAGCATTAAGCCAGCAGAGGAGGCAGGAGCTCCTGTACTTACATGGACCTGAGCATCTTTCCTTCGTGCTTTAGTTTTAAGAGCCGAACTCTCATCACAGCACACACTTGCTGCCTCCAGAGCTTCATCCCACTCATTGCCATGATTCCCTGCTTGGAAAACACTGGGAGGCTTTGGTAACACTCCTCAAGGTCTCTGTCTCCTGTGTGTTCAGCATGAGAAATGCCATTAGCCACAAAGAGCCTTCGAAGGACACATTTTAATCACAATCGATCAACAGGGATCTTCCATTCTGAACACAGGAATGCTTTCAGGTTTTTAGCCAGAAAAGAAACAAGGGCAGAGAAAAAGGGCCATAATTTATCCAGAATATCTTTTACATCAGTGAATTCAGAGTGGCTGAACCTGTGCTTATATGGCCTTGTGAAATGGTTTATCTCTTCCCACCTCCTGATCTGGGCATATTCCCTCCAAAGTAAATACCCTTCCAACATCAGCCTTCAATTCTTGTGATTTAAAAGCCTATGGAGAAGTCAAGACTGAATCATTCAGATTTCTCTGAGAAGATATTCTTCACTAAAGGAAAGTGGGATACAACTGCCACACTAGACCTCTCAAAACTGGCATTTAACAGAAATTCATTAGTTATTCAGTTAAAACACATATCATAGAATCATGGAATTTTTGGGGTTGGAATGGACCTTATAGACCATTTAGTCCCAACCCCTGCCCTGGGCAGGGACACCTCTCACCAGAGCAGGTTGCTCAAGGCTTTATCCAACCTGGCTGTGAACACTGCCAGGGTTGGGGCAGCCACAGCCTCCCTGGGCAACCTGTGGCATATCTGTATAACCTTAATCATAGAACATTTGCAAATTTCAGCCAATGCTTTACCTTCTTGATCCTTGGCTTCCTCACCCTCCAGCTTCAGGAAAACATCTTCCAGGGTTGTCCTGGTAACCTCATATTTAACAACCCCCTGCAACAGGTTGTTCTCGAGGTGGCTGAACAGATCTGCATGACAGAAAGCACCAGACTCAGCCCAACCACCAACCTAGTGCTGAGCACCAACTCACACTGGTATGATTAATGTTAGACATTTCAGTATTCACATCACTCATCTCCATAACTTAAAAGCCACCACAAAATTACTGTGTTCTTTAGAGGTAGGAGGGAAATTAGGGGGAAAGGAGTGGGAAATTCAGAGTTCTTGATGAACATGGGCCATTCTGAAAACAAAGGAGACTCATGATTTTAGTTTGTAGATTAGTTTGGTGGATTTTTTTTTTTGTTAATTTGCATTATTAATATTAGCATGTGCTTTGGAGGCTTTCTCTAACTGATGCTTATGCAGCTTCCTAATCCCATTTAGCATGGGCAGGGAATAGAGTTATTCCCTCCACAGCAACCTTGCTTTCTACTTTTTCCACCACTTGGTTTCACTTTGAAAGAGTAGCATAGCAACAGGTTTTCTTACCTGGGAAGCTATCAGTGTTTTCCAGAGGCAGCATATAACACAGCTCATCCCTTGTGTGTCCTTTGAGCACAGCATCAGGGATGTACTGCCTGACCAGGGATGAGATACTCTCTGGATCACACAGGTTGTTTATTTGCATCCTGTTTGTATTGAAAAACAATTGCTACAATATTAAATGAGGAAAACACATGTGCATCAGCTGCTTAAAAATCCTAAACCAGTGGTTGTTCTTCAGTCCATAGGGAAACCTCCAAAACTGGGCAGCAGTTCAGTGGGAATTTTTACAGCCATCTGCAGTGCCCCTGGTTTTGTCATGCATGCAAGAAATAGTTGAGGTTAAAAACAATGAGTCTGGCCAGGACTGCTAAACCAGGAACACAGAAATTAGAATCCTAAGAAAAACAACTTCACATTAGAGCCATTGTAGGTCACTTTGGCACCACAGATCGCTTCTCTCTGCTCCCCTCTCAGCTGTGAAGGAGGTTGCAAAGTCATTTTAGCTACATGCTCAGAGCTTTCAGGATTGGGTTCCAAAGAAAAGCAGCTTGTTGTCCAGAGCAGGATATTTTTGGCAGCCTCAAAATTCTTCTAAAATGAATTGTCAAGATTTCTGTTCCTCTGTCTGCAGGAAAATACTCACGAGGACTAGAAGCTTTTCACAAAGAGAGTGATGTCCAAAAGGATTTACCTTAAGTGGTAGCCAAGTCCCCATTTTCTCTTCAAGTACAGAGATGAGCCAACAGTCCTTAATGTGCCATTTGAGAGGAAAGCTTTCCGATCTGAGGAGGCACAAAGACAAGGGATTTAGGGGGATTACCAGAGTGCAGCACACTGACCTCACTCTGCTCCTTCTGAACTCTACAGACACTGTAATAAGAAATTGAGAGGAGCAAAACCAGCTAGTGCTGAAGGTCTTTTTTCTCTTTAAACCACTGCCTTTCTCCTAAGCATCAAGGTTAATCTTTCAATTATATGTTCTCATGGAGGATTTCCCACACTGCACAGGAACAATCAGGAAATAGGAAAGATGTTAATTCAATAATAGCACTAATGTCTGTGGGTGCTGCTGGTGACATCTCCAGTTAACATGGAATTGCTTTATCCTGAAGAGCATGAGCAAGGTCTTGGAGGGACATGCCAGTTCAGTTGGGTTGGTGGTTGCTATCAAACCAAACATGTCCAGTGACACAGATTGCATCATGGTGTGGGTTCTGCAGTGGAAAACCCTCACTTGCAAAGCCACAGTGAAAATCTGGGCTCACCAGCATGAGCATCAGCCTCCTCCATGGACTGGGTGGTGAAGAGGGTCACGCGTCCAGCCTGGCGTTCCTTCAGAAGGCTCCACACGTGGTGCCTGGAGCAGGGATCCAACCCAGCTGTTGGCTCATCCAAGAGCAACACCTGGCAAAGACAAAGGAGATCAGACTTCCCCATGTCCAAGCCATGCTTGCATGTCTCAGTTCCCTGTTTACATCATTTCATGCTTTTGGTGATCTCACTCTAAGAATAAAATGCATCCTCAAATATCAGCCAGTTAAATTGCTTTTTCTCCTAGTACAGTATTGCCACCCTTTCAACTACAAATATGGTTGTCATTGAAGTAGATCCCTCAATCCTTCCAGAAAATGAATTAGCAGGTTAAGGAGCCTGGGAATGCCAGAGGGAAAACACAACTGTCTCTGCCAAGTCATAATGCAAAGCTATGAGCTAAACCAGTACATGCTGTGTGTGCATAAATCTGTTCCTACCTGGGGATTTCCTAAGATTGCAATTCCAAGAGACAATTTTCTCTTCTGTCCCCCAGTCAGAGTATCAGCATAAACATTCTGAAGGTCAGTGAGGTCCAACATCACGAGAACTTTTTGCACCTTGGTAATACACAAAGACAAGAGTCACATTTCCAAAGTTCTGGTCACATTTTACTTCATAAATGGTATAGGACATTATAGCTTCAACATGAAAACTTCTTTGCTGTAAATGGTTTTGCTTAGAGCTAAGTACTGGAAATCTGAGCTCATGATATGAGGATAAGAAAGAATTAAAAAAGCACTTCACCTCTAAATTAGAATTGTTCTCATTTCCACAGAACAAGGTGCTGGTGATAACCTTTAATAAAGAAAGCCCAAAGTGCCCAAGAGGCCAGAAAAGAGAGGTCAGTGGCTGATAAGCACATACCAACCTCTTGCTCTACTTCCTTCCACTGAATCCCCTTGATGTGAGCAAAAGTTTTCAGGTTTTCCTTCACTGTTAAGGTTTCAAAGTGCAAATTAAGCTGGGGGCAAACCCCAACCATTGCCTGAACTCTTTCCATATCCCATACTTCAGAAACGTTGTAGTTGTACAGCATTGCAGAACCTGCACATGGGGATGAATGGAACAAATTTCATCCTCTACAGTATCAGCCAGTTAAAAGGGGAAAGCAGAAGGTTTGTGTTTCACACCTTGGACATTAATTCCAGCATTGGGGATGTTCATAGAATCATAGAATTTTAGGGGTTGGGATGGAGCTTAAAGATCATCTAGTGCCAACCTCCTGCCCTGGGCAGGGACACCTCCCACCAGAGCAGGTTGCTCAAGGCTTTATCCAACCTGGAATGAAACACTTCCAGGGTTGGGGAATCCAATACTTCCCTGGGCAACCTGGGCCAGTGTCTCACCACAATGTTGATGCTGTTTCTCAAGTGTTCAGAAAAAAAAAAAAAAAAAGGCAAAATCTCTCCCCCCCTTAAGAATGAAAACATATTTCCTGTAGGTACACAGCTCCTGGGAAACATCTCCATCCAGATGGAGAACTGACCACCACTCATGAGCATATCCATGAGGGATGCATTGTCCCTGGAGCTCGTGTTGAAGGAGAAATCTGCACTGACAACTAACCAGCATGAAAGATTGAGGGAAAACTTGGAGGTTTATTTACATATTTCCCATTTAGACTTGAAAAAACAAGTTTCTCCTCTTCAGCTTTTAGTTCTCTCATCTTACCTGCTGAAGGTTTGGAAAATCCACTGAGCACATTTAAGAGAGCAGTTTTCCCAGCTCCACTGTGGCCAAGTAATGCAGTGATCTGACCTTCATATATGTTTAAGGACAAACCTAGAAGAGAAGTAGGACAATATCAGGATGGAAGTTTGTGAGAAGTAGACTTGTACCACGAGTGACAGGAGTGACAGTTTTTTTGCAGCTGAGAGGACAAACCACAGATCCCAAAGGATAGATTGGATCTTGAGAAGTTAGGACTAAGCTTAGTAAGGAACTTGTGGTCATGTCTTGATTGAATTGAGGGAACAAGTGCATTAACTTCAATATTTAAAGAATTTTGACTTCAGTTCTCTATGATATTCATAACCTTTTATTCAATGTGGCTCAAGAGTGTCCACAGGAAGAGCAGAGCCCATAGCTTTCCCAATATTTGAGATTTCAAGGTTTATTTCAAAGCAGCCAGACTTTGTTACTTCATTTTCTTCTTAAAACAAACTTATTTTGCATTTTTGTGGGTTCTTCAGGTTGTTCAGGGATTTTTTTTTTCACTCAATATAGAACTTTGAGTCCATATTGATATTTTTCATACTTTCATATTTCTCATTCTTGAGCTTTTCACTTCAGTTCCTGTTAAACAAAGGCATTTAACAAATAACCCAGAACTTTGCTATGACTGTGTCAACTATTTGCACTGGCAAGTGCTTGGAGAACACAGAGACAGGGACCAAAACCTTCAAGTTTTGTTTGCCCCAAACAGTTCACTTATTGAAGGGAGGTTTGAGAAGGGATTTTTAGAGTGGTTCATCACTGCAAACCCCACAGCTTTTAAGAAAACTTCTGCTGTGGCAATAAATAATAAACAGTGATTTTCCTGGAGGGAACAGGGAGATAACCACCTGGTAGAAATTAGGCAGCAGAAATAACCATTGCACAATGTACTGGAATAGTACTGGAGGCAGAATTCAGTACATCCAGTACAATTTAAACCAGTTTGGGTTTTTTATCTAGTGGAAAAAAAATGAATAAAAGAATTAGAAAACCTTTTCCTACCCCTTAAAGCTTCGACACTCTTGTCCTTCTTCTTGTAGGTTTTCTTAATATTGTTTAGTCTAAAAGAAAGGTAAGAAAGTCATTACTCTTGGATCTCACATTTCCTCTGCCTCAAAACAACCTTTGAAAACTATTGGAAGATTATTACCTAACCTCCTCCTCAAATTACACCTGCTCATTCTGAAGAAATTGCTTTATGTAATGCATTTCTTGGATCTTTAAAGCAGAATTAGACACTGCATTTTTCTAAGAGATGTTTCAAAGGTTTCAAAGCCAAATTTGCTCCACACTTAGTGAATGAAGCAGGAGGCCTTAGGGAATGAGATTATGCATAATTAAAGAACTAAAAGTGATGGCCTAGCTGTTATTTTAGTGGATTTATGTTTGCTTGCTGGTAACAAACAATGGGCAACACCAGTAACGACCCAAACTAGACTTGTAAGGATTGACATAACAGCAAATTGTGCAGTACACTCCATCAACAATGTGCTGGGAGATGATGAAGAGGAACAAACTCACTGCTGCTGCTCTGGAAAGAAGCAGCAGGTCAGTTCCTGGCACAGAGGATGCACCATGCCCAATAAATGTTCAAATCCAGCTTTGGAGCAGAATGAAACACTGAAGGAACCTTCCCTTTCACGTTTGCCATTAACCTCATCTATTTATATTACGTGACTCGGTCTGATGTTCACCAGTGCAACTCAACTAAGCTCTAGAGTCAAGCAGTACATGTAGAGCTCTATTTTTTCCATGCCTGCAGGTGTCCTTACCTGATTGCTTCCTTCCCTTCAAAGCCTGGAGGCATTGGCTCGGTGTTGCTGCTGAGCACAGGGTCATGGTTTCTCTCACTGCCTCCTTGCACCCCCACGTGCCCATTCCTGGGCTTCATCCAGTAGGATGGTCTCAGGAAGAAGGTAGGAGGGTATGGTATTCCATATTTTCCTAATTCAGAGACAAAGGAGGTGAAATATCAACCCCAAACCTGCCAATTCTGCTCAATGCCCTATCCAGCCTTGGCTTCCTCATTGCTGCAGGATGGAAACTTCCAGCAGAGTAAAAGAATTGATATATATTGCCATTTAAGTTGTCCATTCATTCACATCTGTAAATGCAGGTGGGGAATAATCACAGCAAAGACACCACTGACAACCATTTTGGTCCAAATAAATCAGGTCAAGTCCTATAACATCCTACCAAACCCAGTAGTCAGGGCTGTTGGAGCAGGAACTCAGTGTTTCACAGCAAGGCTTAACCTCCTTTCTGAAGACTTTTTGAGGCAGGGCCAAAGGAGGTAGCTACATGCACCCAGATTCTGGGCAAGCAGGATTCTTCCCAATCATTTCTATCCTGAGAAATACAGTAAATCCCATTTTCATCCCCTGATGTAGCATGTCAAGGCTATTGTCAACGTGTCATTGCTGTTAAGATTCCCTTCCACAATCTGACCAGCTCACTACCAGGACACCTTTTTTTTTGTTGCTCCATGTGGATTAGTTTTCTCTCATCTCACCACTGCTCTGACAACTTCCCCCCTATGAGATGAGAGGATTATAAACAGAAAGAAACAAGGAAGTTTGTATTCTTCCCCTCACATTTCCACTTACCAGGCAAAACCTTGTCGAAGTAGATAGCCAGCAGGAAATACAGGACACTGTCAAGGCTCAGGATGAGGTATAGATTATAGAAAGGGTACAATTCTGGGGTAGAGGCTGGTCCATATTTTTCTAATTTTACCACCTAGGGGGAAGAAAAAAACAAAAAAAAGCCCAAGTCAGATGCAACACTTCCTTCAGACAGAAAAGCGACGTGCAAGTTGCTGCTGTGTCATCACAAACACTTGTCCTGAAAACCACGTCCACTCATGACCATGATGCTGTTCCCAGAGAGACAAAGGCTTTGTTATGACCACAAGCACCAGAAATGCTTCAGTAAGCTGAACTCAAAATCCTGCAGAAGTTGCCACACCAGTGCAATGCACGTGGTGTTTGCTAAGGCAACACTTCCAGACCTCCCAGTTCTCTGCAGCTCTTGGTACCCACCAGACACATCTCACTGCTGCAATCACTTCCCAGAGATGGAATATATTGTATATACAGAGCTAGTAGAATTCAGGATGCAGTTGACTGTCCAATCATCTTCATTATGAATTAGCATAAATTTTTGGAGTCAAGTTTTCTTCTTACAAAGCCTCTGGAGCAGAAGGGTGTGAGTCTAGGGGTTGCTGTGGCAAAGCAGATTGTGGATGGTGCTGTTATGTGATAGAATTCTGCAGCAGGAGTGGGGAGGGCTAAGCTTTTATCCTGCTGTGCTGGGTTGGGCTGAAGTAGAATTAACTTTCTTCACAGTGGCTAATATGGGGCTATGTTTGGGCTTCAGCCCAAACCAGCACACGTGCACTGGTTTTATCTTGGACATACCGTAGCTAGACCAGCTGTGAAGGCAAAAGGGCTGAAGATATTCAAAATCCATTCTGAAGAAGGTGGAAGTTTCTCAAACAGTGTCAAAAACCCCAATGATCCAAAGAGGATGTGAAGGACAAACCCCACGAAACTGGCAATATTTGGCTGGTTTACCAATAAGCTGAGCATGAAAGTGAAGTGAATCTGCAGCACAGAAAAGCAGTAGTTAGCAGGATGTATTTCTGCTGGCAATAAAAAAAAAAAAGAAACCACATGAAAATAGGAACTCAATCAGAGTTGAGTTTCAGTTGTCCCCAGCAGATGTGCATGGAACATCACAACGTTTGTGTCCTTTAGCAGAGAGCTCTGAGACTTAGGGTGGGTTGAAAGGGGCAGCTCAGTCCCAGCCTGGTCTGAACATCTCTCTTTATTCTATTTTCAAGTCAGAATCTCTCAAAATATGACAAAAGTTTATATTAACCTCTAAATGATAACAATAAATCCCAGTAGTGAAGATGTTGTGACTTCCTCACATAATACCCATCCCTAGAGTACTCCACATTTTTGGACTTTCAGCTACTTGAACTAGGAAATGGAAAAAAACCCCCAAGGTGCAGCACTGAAGGATACAAAAGCAGACTTACAGATGCTATGCCATAAAAGAAATAAAGAAAATATAGCTCAGAAAAGCTGCATTGACGGAAGACTTCACTCAAGGTGACCAGTGTCAGCAGAGCAGCTGCTACTGAGATGTACACGATGTACAACAAGCTCCAGGAGAACCTACAAAGGAAGACATAGTTATTTTGGTCCCTGAACATGACACCACTTGCCATGACACAGTCAACACAAGGCACTCTTTAATGAAAATATTTCATCATTCCAAATATACACTGATGGTTTCCAGACTGGAAAGATGCAAATATCACAGGAACACAGGATGGGTAAGGTTGGAAGGGAACACAGAGGGTCACCTGGTCCCACCTTCTTCAAACCCTCTGCCATGGGCAGGAACATCTTCCACTAGCCCAGTGTCCAACTTGGCCTTGAACACTTCAAGGATGGGGCAACCACAGCTCCTCTGGGCAACCTGTGCCAGTGTCTCATCACCCTCACAGGGAAGAAGTTCTTCCTAATATCTAATCTAAACCTACTCTCTGTCAATTTGAACCCATTATTCTTTGTCTCATCACCACAGTTCCTGATGAAGAATCCCTCTGCAGCTTCCTTGTAGCCCCTTCAGATCCTGGAAAGTTTCTACAAGGTCTCCACACAGATTTCTCTTCTCCAGGCTGAACAGTCCCAACTCCCTCAGCCTGTCTGTATAGGAGAGATGCTCCACTTCTCAGCTTTGCTTTGTGGCCTCCTCTGGACTTGCTCCAGCAGTTCCATGTCCTTACATTGGGAGCACCAGAACTGTACACAGCACTAGTACATTACAGATGAAAGCAGCAAAGTTTCTGCTTCAACAACCTGCAAAATGTGGCTTCAGTGAGCAATGGTTAGGCCATTGTAAGTGTCTGCTCTGGGGTCTGGGGGATTGCTGCTCCTCACTGTATGGTGGTACCTGACCCATGTCCATCCTGAGAGCTAGTGCACATCCTAGGCACATTAGATAATGTAATCCTTCTGATTCCACAGTTAATTTCTGTAAGACTTACCAGAAGGCAATATCTTGCAAACCCATTGCTCTCATTAATACTTTGAGCCTCTTCTTCTCCCTTAGAACTTTGACTGACACAAAGTACATAAATGGGGAGTAGCAGACTACAACACAAATAATGAACCAAGTGTAATCCAGTTTAAACACAGGTGTCATCATGGGGGACCTCAGTTGGACTCCAGTAATTGTCTGCATCTCTTTCCAGACAGAATGGTTGGTTTCCATCTAAAGAAAAGAAAACAGCCATTGATTTCATTTCTGTAATGAAACAGCCAAATCAGAACAAACAGGTTTCTATAAGCATTAAAACTGGTCATTTGACAATAATGTTATGGTTGTGAGTGACAAATCACCTCAGTATTTAGTATCTATATTGCCTTGCAACAAGCACTGCCACTGCCTTGAGCCACGAGGATGACCTGTCATCCTTTTCAATTTTGAATCACACTATGTGTTTAAGAAGTTAATGATCACAGAAAATCATAGAAACACAGACTCCCAGAGTGGTTTGGGTTGGAAGGACCTTAAAGATCATCTAGTTCCACCCTCTATCATAGGCAGGGACACCTTCCACTAGACCAAGTTGCTCCAAGCCCCATCCAACCTGGCCTGGAACACTTCCAGGGATGGGAAAATCAACTGGTTTGGTGGTGGATTTTGTTATTTGGGGTTTTGTTTTGTTTTGGGTTTTGAACTTTACAGATAACTCTGCAAAGGACAGAAAACATCTTCTCCATCATGATCACACTTACTTCTATGAGTGCTGCATCAATGCTGGACTGCAGGGAGAGGAAACCCCCAAACCAGTAAAAAGGAGTTTTGCAGTAACTTGATGTATAATCCCAGCAGGATTCTGAGCAGGGGGAAGAAAAGAAAAGAATTTCATCAATACATTTCCATATATATGTGTATATAAAACTGATGCATAACATGTGGGGTTGAAAATGTCTTTTACCCAAGTGTCAGGAAATCAAGATTTAGTTTTCCTTTGCCTTTTATGATTGAATATATTAAATCTATGTCTGTGCACTATAGGTTAGAAGCACATTATTGCACACACAATGCTCCTTTTCCTCTGCAAGGAAGTGGAGAAGGACTCTTCATCAGGAACTGGAGTGATAGGACAAGGGGAAATGGGTTCAAACTGTCAGAGAGTAGGTTTAGATTTGATATTAGGAAGAAATTCTCCCCAGGGAGATGTTAGAAAGAACTTCTTCTCTGTGAGGGTGGGGAGGAACTGGCACGGGTAGAGAAGCTGCATCCCTGGGAGTGTTCCAGGCCAGGTTGGATGGGGCTTGGAGCAACCTGGGCTAATGGAAAGTGTCCCTGCCCAGGACAGGGGGTGGAACTGGATGAGCTTTGAGGTCCCTCCCAACCCAAACTATTCTGTGATTCTACAACTGTGGATAATGTTTGTGTTCTTAAAACTATTTTTTTCCTGACATTTTTTTCCTTTTACATAAACAAACCCTTAAACTTCCACTACTGTCTTTCTTGAGCCATTTAGCACATAGAGCCTCCATCCCCTGGGAGTTCCATGGCAGCACAGACATCCAGGGAAACATTTTCTAATGTAAAATCAAATTCTGTGCTTTCATTGATTTTGTTACCAAGGTGTTCAAAGACATCATCTGGCAACACCATTCTGTTCGGTTGAAATCTGATGCTGTAGGACAAATCCTCCTTGAAAACAACACCAACAGCTTCTTTCTTCTCAGCTGCTTCATCTTCTACTTTTTCCTCATTTTCCATCTCTTCTATTATTACACCTGTCATTCACATAAATGAATAATAATTAAAAATCCCAAAGAGTAAACCCACCACAGCTGACAATCTGATCAGTCAGGGAATGACATGAAAATGGACATCACTACAATTTCTACTGGCCAAAGGCTTTTCTCCCCAAAACCACCACAAGGACTGGGTCAGGGCTGGTGAGGGTCAATAAGGCTCAGTGCTGGTCCTGCCCCTGGGACACAACAGCCCATGAAACTCCAGGTTGGGGGAGGAGTGGGGACAGAGCTGTTGGTCCCAAAGGACTTGGCAGTGCTGGTGGCACAGCTCAGGGGTTGGAGAGAGGTGTGGGATGTGTGTCCTGCCATGGCTGCAGGGAGAGGACTAGAGGGAATGGCCTTGAGCTGAGCCAGGGCAGAGTCAGATGAAATGTCAGGAAAAATGTTTTCCCTCTTAGGGTGTTCAGGCACTGGAATATTGCCCAGGGAGGTGGTGGAATCACCATTCTAGGAAGTGTTTAAGAGGTATCTGGATCTGGCACTGAATGGTTTGAGGTTTTGGGGTTCCAGCAGTGACAGGTGAATGGTTGGACTTGATGATCTTAGAGGTCTCCTCCAACCCTGATGATTCTAGGGCCAGATCAGACATCTCAGCTGCCCCAAGGATTTAAGAGCAGCATTACCTGCCATGGCTGAAGCTGAGGCCACTTTGCTCATGATGTGCCTGGTGGTGCTGGTGCCAGGTGTGTACACCAGTGGCACTCCCGTGGCGTTGTAGGCTGGGTCATCCAACTGGCCCAGGAACTTGTAAGGGAATTCTCGCGTCGAGTAGTGAATTATGTTATCTCCTAATTGTTGGAGGACGAAGAGGAAAACTGCCAATGAAATCCATTCCTAGATGAAAGGAAGGAAGGAAATGCAGAGTTGAGTAGCAGCCCAAGGGCTTGATCCTAGGGGAAATGTCTTCTCATCCAGCTCTGCCCTGGCTGCACAGTCCCACTCCTCTTTTTTTTTTTTTTTTCTGTCCATAAGGGAGAGCTGTTTCCCAGGTGTGATGATTTTAAAAATCTGAGGACTGTTTCAAGTGAAAAAAACATGTTTTCTTAGTACTGGAGCAAGTGAGATCTGCTGAGAATTCTACACCCGCGATCATGAATTGGACATTGTGTTCCTCTGGACAGTGCAGGATGGGATCAACAACCAAAAGCAACAAACCAGCTTTGTCACAAGGCTGTGTTATGCCAGAGTACTGCAGTGACACAGGAAGAAGAGTAACAGCTGACATATCCCAGGGAACCACATTACCAGCTGAGGCTTCTCATATCCCCTTGCATAAAAACAATGCAACGTAAAAATACTTCGTAGTGGAAATCCTAATTTCCCTTTGGAAAAACCAACACTTGCCTGAAAACTTTCTGTCTTCATCCTCCACACCAGAAGAATATTTTTCCATAGGAGAGCACTGGTTTGCTGAAATATTTTTGAGGCTTGCTTGGATATCCTCTGCATTTTCCCAGCTAGGAGGAGAAAGAAATTGATGTCATTTAGAATAAAACAAATCAATGGAAATTAATATATTTTCTTGGGTAAGCAGCAGTTCAGAGGAACCCAATAAGATGCCAAAGGTTGAGAACTTGTCACCATTTTACAATTTGGCCAACCAAGGTGAAGTTCAAAGGAAATAGTCCAAGATCAGGCAAGGGACATTTTGATGGGGAATATTTCTTTCTGTTCCAACTTCAATCCAAGCAGCAAACACCCTGGGCAAGCACAGGAGCAAGCTCAGAGTGATGGATTTCACTCCATTCCCAGGAGGAGAGCAGGGGAGGGAACCTCCCAGTACTTTTTTTTGTATTTGAATCCTTTCAAACAGCTGAAAACCCAAATCAAAGCAACTTCAAATGCACAGTCCTCTTTTCCCCTCAGACATCATTTTCTGATTTCACAGATTGGGCAGCTGGAGTTAATAAAAGGTTCCACTCCTCTGCTCCCTTCACTGCTTGTTTTGCTGGAAGCATTAAATATTTGTGTAGTCCATGGGCAATGGATGCAGAATCTTTGTTTACTCTCTGTTAGCACAAGGTTTATCTCCTGGTGTTCTGCTTTCCCTGCCTGGAGCTCTCTCTCCTGCTTCCCAACCACAGCCTGCAGCAAAACTTAAAGGCAAATAGGAAAGGATTTCTAGGAAGTGTTATTTTTTTATTCCCAGGTCTGGATTTCAGTCCATGTGAACTGAAAGCAGCAGTTCAGCCCAGGATGTTTGGGTAGTAAACAAAGGTTCACAGTATTTTTAATGATGGAGCAAATCTAAAGCTTTATAGAAAACTTCAACTAAGTTTCTACCAGTTTGAAGCTTATTTTTGCCCATGGAGCAAGAAGCAAATACTGTTGGGAGCCAAACATGAAGCCAGGAATTCCAACAAGTGATGCTGCCTAGAAAAGCTCTATGAACAACATTGGGAATATTAGTATTGTTAACTTAAAATTAAATATTTAATTAATCTATTATATAATTATCAAAAGGACACAAAATACAAGCAGGAGAGACATCTCTCCAAGACCTAATCAGCCACAATTCAGATTGAGAAGAGAAAAAATACCATCAGGACTTTATCTGGAGGCAATAGTGGCTGAGGAGCTTTAAGCCAGTTAAGAGCATCCCTTGTAAAACCTGATGTCTCTGGAAGTGTTTCCATCCCCAGGGCTCAGTAAATGCACCCAAACTTCTTTCTCTCCAGGAACACACTCCCCAGGCACTGCAATAACCTCTACTGGATCTTGTGTGGAGCTCTGCTCTACCAAAGGAAGGCAAGTTCCATATAACAAATTAATTTATTTGCCATCTCAGGGATTTCTTATTTGGCCCTTCTTTATTTTTGCCTTCTTTTTTTCCTCTAAAAAATGAACTTATTGTCATCTAGTTGAAGATGTCCCTGCTCATTGCAGGGGGGATTGGACTAAATTACTTTTACATGTCCCTTCCAACCTAAAACATTCTAGGAGTCTGTGATTCTAACTCCTAAACTCAAGCTGCTGTTCTGGAGCACTGGCAAAGCCTCTTGGTGCTGGCTGTGAAGGAATCCTGTGCTTCCCAGAGGATCCACTGGCTTTCCAAGGATTAATCCCTGCACCTGGGGAGTGCAGAGCTGAACATGCCTTTTCCATACCCTCCTGCTTGCTGGTGATTGCAGCTTTTTTGTGCTTGCACCTGCCCCCTGATAAATTCCAGACACATTGGCACTGACTCTAACACACAAACTTTGAAAGAGGCTGGTTTTCCTACTCTCAGCTGGAAAAGAACAGCACTAAGCCTGCCCTTTAGCAAAGTTCAGCAGTTTTGCTTGTACAGGGAAGTGAAATTTGGTGGTTTGTGTTTTTAGATGCCTTTAGTGGTGACAGCAAAGCAGAGAGTGGAGGGAGAAAGCAGCAGCTGGAGGGACTTGGCACTCAACCTGCAGCTAAAGTACATCCACAGCAAGAATCTGAATCCACACACAGAAAAGCTGAATGTTTAACAGGCAAAGGGACACAAATATTTTGATGTGAAGCTTGCATTTTGTCAGAGAACAGAACTGGAAGGTGCAGATCTTCTGCAGTCAGCGTAATAATGCATAAAGGCAATCAGCAAAAATTAATCATCAAATTCAACTGTCCATGGGGAGGATTGGTCTAGTTCTATTTCTAAAGAGAGAAAGAGGAAACTCCTTACCTGATAATGTGTTTTCCATCAAGACTAGGTCTCCAGCTCTGAGATGTCCAAGCTCCTGGTCCTTTTGCAGCTCTGGAGAGGGCTCAGTGCCAGAGCCCAACCCTATGGCCATCCCCTCTCCAGCCTGACGTCAGCCTGACAGTGCAAACACTCCCAGAGCTTCTGGAGTGATGACCCAAGTATGGAGCAATCCCTACAACTCCCTGGCCCAAAGCCTGGAGGTGTTACCACCACCAGAGTTTTTGGGATTCAATACAACTCCTGCAGTACAACACTGTGTTTCTCCCAGGCAGCAGAGTTGGGGTGCCCTGAGCTCCTCAGTGCTGGCAAAGCTACTTCATCCCTGGCTCAGCTTCTCCAGAGGGAAAACACTACCTTCTCCCCACCTTGATCAGATCCTAACCCAGCAAATGCTCCTTCTTCTTCCATCTGTGTCTCAGGACCAGCAGAGTTTTAGTTCTTATTCTCTTCTCCCTTTGTTTTTTTTAATTTGGTTGGTTGGGTTTGTTGTTTGTTTGAGGTTGTTTTTTTTTTCAGTTCCCACTCCTTTTAATTGCTTTTCCAGCAGCTGCCACACAGCTGGAATCAGGATGGAGTGTGTTGGGCTTTTACACATCTTTCCAATGGATCTGCATCCAAAAGAGGAAGGTGAGGAAATCAGCTAAGCCAGGGAATCCAAGTGAGCAGGAAGAGTGTACAGCCACCTGATAAATCAGCCCTGGCATGCCTGAACATTGAGTGTACAGCCACCTGATAAATCAGCCATGGGCAGCCCTGGCATGCCTGAACATCAGCTGCAGAAAAGGCTTTTTAACAGAAAAAAAGGCACCTGCTCTGAGCATCCTTAGGATTTCCCATCCTGGCTCTGCCCCTGAAGTGAGACCATAAGTCAAGGCAACCCCTTGGGGCTTCACTGAGGAGCAGCAGGAGAGCACACAGTGCCCCAAAATATTGCTTATTAAAGCTCCAAGCAGATATTTCATAGGATTTCCCAGAAGGGGACACAGCCTGCAATTAGCCTTTATGTCTGCCTGGAAGAGAGAAGGGCTTGGAATGGAGCCAGACCCTTCCAGGAGGACATGTGAAGCAACAGACTGCAGGAAAAAGGAACAGTGAGACTTCCAGGAAATGCTTATCAAAGAAAAGTTCAACATGCTAGATTAGGGACTTTCTGAAGATCTCTTAAAAGAGCATCATAAGGGAATGAATTCATTTTGCAGCTTTAAAAATCTATGGCACATTGCCCTTACACAGGCAAACGAGTAGGAAATTCTGGGAACTGTCACCAAACTCAGCTTAAACTTCTTTGGGGTTGTTTTCTGAAAGGTTTAGGGAGCACAAACCTTTCATTTTGCCCCACAGGGCTGGAGGTGACCTCCTCCTCCTCAGCAGGGTGACTCTGGGGAGCTGACAGTTCTGCAGGACATCCAAGGAGCAGACAACATCCTCCAGCCCTGGAGATCATGTTTTCCTGTCCCACCTTCAGCCAAACCTTCCCCTGTTCCAGCACCCACCAACCACCCAGAGAGTTCACCTTGGCCAAAGCTGCAACCAGAAAAATGAACTCTTTTCTTCAGTGGGCTCAATTTTCCAGTGGATGAAGCTGATTCATCTCTGCAGATGCACCATGTGCCGTGCCAGGAACACATAGCTGCCCTGGGGTCACTCCTAGCCCAAAGTCAGGCTGAATTAATCTGGCTGTCAAATGGTGATACAACTGTGAGAGGTCAAATCCTGAGTGCTGCAACACTGAAAACCCCCCTAAATTCAGTGAAAAATCTGAAATTAGAGCAGCCTGACCCCCCTCCAGCCATGGCCCCCCATGCTCTGCCCAAGCCCACTCACCTGAAGCTTTGGTGTACCCCAAAGAACAGCCAAGGCTTTAAAATCCACCCCCTTCTACCCAGCACAGCAAAACCTACACATAACACAAACTCAAGCACTTAACAATCCAATCCATCTTTATTTTGGTAGTACTTTCTGCTGGGAAAGGAAAATCCTCAACTTTACAAGTACAGCCAAGTGGTAAAAGAAAGGCAAGTGTATAAAACAAACTTTGCACATGGTTCAACATCAGGAGGAGCATCACAAATGTATCACCTTTAGGCCCAACACCTTCTGTTTCTGCTACCAGAGAACTGGATGTCAACTAGGCAATAGATTTCACTTGCTTTACAGAGATCTCTTTAAGTAAGGGCTTTTCTTGGGAATGTAAACAAAATCAGACACGTTAAATTCTCCATAGAAAAATACAACCTTAAAACAACACCACAGAGTAAACACATCTTCCAAACTTTGGATGTATCAGCTAACTATCTCACAGCAACCCTGGAAAGTAACTAAAACCATCACACCTGGGAACAGTGACCCAAACTGGATGGATGTGCCCCAAGTCAACCCAAATCCAGCTGCCTCAGCTCCAGTTTATCTCCTGGAGCACACACTGGGTGTATTTTATGGAAGGGATTTGGCATATCACTGATAACAGCTCAACAAAGACACTTATAAATCATAGGAATTAAGCTCCTGTGTTTCCAGGGGATTCTCTGGTTTCATTTTGCATGTTTTTCCCCCTCCTCTTCTGGCAATTATAGACATCATACAACACTTTGAAAGACTTCTGATACAACACACTACGATGACAGTGATGTTTTGGGGTGGCATCTTACCCCACATGGACACATGATGTCACCAATGCCAAAGAGATCCCACCCAAACACAGTGAATTTAACAAGCCAAACTCTTTGATCATGCAGCTGCATAAATACAGTGCCACCATCCACTGGGATACTCCAGGAAAAAAAAACCACAACAGCACCAAACTGGCTGCTAACCCAAGTTTTCATAGGAGCCATTTGAAACATGAGAAAACATGGAAATACCTGACACAGGATGGTGCCATCCAGACACACAGAACTATTTTACAGACTCTTAACTCGAAGTTAAAGGATAAAATGAAGACACCAAGGCTCACAGGTCACACTGTACTGCCATAAGGTCACAGGACAAGGGTGTGCTGGACACTGCTGGATGGATGGGCAGGTGACACTTGGCTGAAACACCATTTACAAAGAGAGACCAAAGGAATATGGGATTGGGAGAAAAACGCACTTAACTTGTACGTACCTACATGGGAAAGTACCATCAGGCAAAATTCTGGGTCCCACCTTTGCTCCAGATAAAGGGAAATGCTCAGAGCTATTGGCTAGCAGCAAGGATGAGGCTGGGAGCAACAGGCTGGGGGGAACTCAACAAACAAAACAGCTGAGTTTGGGGCATTTCTCTTCTCTAACAGGGAAGCTGCACCCCTGTGAGGTTGCACTGGAGCTGCAGGTTGGAGGTTGGTGCTTTAATCCCATTCTCTACCTCTGGTTCATTGCCAGGGCTCACCAAAATGGGCACAAGCATGACCTGTGGTTCCTGGCCCTGGGGAAGCAAATGGGATGTTCAGGGCTCTCTGCAGGGCTTGGGCTCAAGTTTTAACTCCACAACCAAAGCTGTGCACTTCTATGCAAACTACAGGTACAAAAGAGGAAGCAAAGTTGGACATGAAGAGTTCACATCTCCCTGTGGTAGAGTAAGAAATGAATGAGAACAGATTTTGGCTCAACACAATGATAAACCATTATCAGACATATTACACATGTTGTTGCTTGACAGTTACACAGTTGGGAAACAACTCCACCTTAACCCAGATTTTGGGTTTTCACAAGAAAAACAAAGGTGTTTTCTAACTTTAACATGAAGATACATAAATGATATGACTTATGAAGCCAACATCAATGTGCTGGTTTGAGCTGAAGTAGAGTTAACTTTCTTCATAGAGGCTAGTATGGGGCTATGTTTGGGTTTTGTGCAGAACACAGAGTTGATAATGCAGAGATGTTTTTGTTGTTGCTGAGCAGAGCTCACACAGAGTCAAGGCCTTTGCTGCTTTCCATACTGCCACACTGGCAAGGAAGTTGGGGATGCATGGGAGATTGGGAGGAGACACAGCTGGGACAGGTGACCCAAACTGACCAAAGGGATATTCCACACCATAGGACATCATGCTCAGTGTATAAGGTGGGAGGAAGAAGAAGGAAGGGGGAACATCTTGAGTGATGGTGTTTGTCTTCCCAAGGAACCGTTACGCATGATGGTCCGTGCTCACCTGGGGATGCTGAACACCTCCTGTCTGTGGGAAGCAGTGAATTAATTCCTTGTTTTGCTTTGCTTGTGTGTGCAGCTTTTGCTTTCTCTATTAAACTGTCTTTATCTCAACCCATGAGTTTTTGTAGCTTTTACCCTTCTGATTTGCTCCCCCATCCCGTGGGTGGGGGAGTGAGTGAGAGGCTGCTGGTTCTTGGCTGCTGCTGGGGGTAAACCACGACAGTCTCTATATAAACCCATCTCTCTATTTGTTCCTACAACGAGCAATCTTGAATTTCACCTTATAAAACTAAAGAGTGATGTTAACTTTGTGTAGAAACCTCAAAAATAAAATCTTTTCAACAGACATCTGTCATCTCTTAGGCTGAAGGATCACCTATTCTACTCTTCTTAGTGCTTCTATGCAAACCAAAGGCACCAATCCTATGGATGAGGCTGTGAATTGGGATCTTTAACAAAGGTGAGTGATAAATTGCCAGGCCAGGCCAGAGCAAACAGCTCTGTATTACTGACTTGGCACAACAAAGATGGATTAGGAAGTACTGGTGCATGTAGTGATGAATCCACTGGCAAGGCAAATGACAACATCTCAGGTCTGTCTCTAAGAACAGCTGGCAGGACACATGTTGTTATCCCCAGGGAAAGATCAGCCTGTTTTTGATGAGGACAAGGAATACTCACATCTCTGCAAATCCT